CGATAATACATGGTGGGGGGAAAGAAGGGAGAGGAGACTAGATCCCAAAAGCCTGGATTTTACTTCTAAACTTTTACTTTTGATGGTATCATTTACTCATCATGTGATCTTAGGTATATCACATCTTTTCTCATTCTTAGCTTCACCATCTATAAAATGAAGATAACAACACCAGCCCCTGCTTTCTTTTGAGCTATGAAGCTCAATAGATCAAATGAGTGAAACACTATGAAGGCTGCAAAGGACACCCAAATGTAAGCCTTATTAGTGATCATTTTATCTTCACATCTTCCCTTTTAAAACAACACAGCCCAAGAACTTTACTCAGCAAAGAAACTCCTGTTTTGTCTCTAGCTCATATGGCATTGCCCTAACAAAATTACACTGCTTCAATAGGGAAAAAAATCAATCTTCTATTAAATTGGTTGCATTCTAAAACATAAAATCAAAGGCAAACTATAGATGTACTAAAGTTTCTTCCTGAAAAGCTGAATAGCAAGATCTATCCTTCTAGAAACTGTCTGAAAAATAACCCTTGTTTTCTTCTCACAGTGCTACTTTCTATACTTTAATTACCACAGGAAAAAAACTTACAGGAACTATAATTCATATTCTAAAAATACATCTTGTCAGTGATGAAAGTAGACATCAGAGTGTACAGTATTATATTTTATACTAAAACTCAAAACCACCAAATTTTAAGAGTAGGAAAGGAATATTTAAGGATTATTTAACAGGGACGCCTCGGTGGCTCAGTGGTTGAGCATCTGCCTTTGGCTCAGGGCATGATCCCGTAGTTTCGGGATCGAGTCCCACATCAGGCTCCCTGCATGGAGCCTGCTTCTCCCTCTGCCTATGTCTCTGCCTCTCTGTGTGTTTCTCATGAATAAATAAATAAAATCTTTAAAAAAATTATTTAACAGAATATCTTTTTTTTTTAATTTTTTTTTTTAATTTATTTACGATAGTCACAGAGAGACAGAGAGAGAGAGGCAGAGACACAGGCAGATGGAGAAGCAGGCTCCATGCACCGGAAGCCCGACGTGGGATTCGATTCCGGGTCTCCAGGATCGCGCCCTGGGCCAAAGGCAGGCGCTAAACCGCTGCGCCACCCAGGGATCCCTTAACAGAATATCTTTAGAAGGCCCTGAAGATGCTCATCAATGAATGAACTAGGTGACATGGAGAGACATACTTTTCACTCAATACCATTTTTATCTTTTGAAATTTGAGCCATGTGCTGTTAAAAATAAGTATATTTATCATTTTATTAATTCGTTACAATCACCGAGGGAATCGAAAGAAGCCCTCATTTTTCAAAGGAGAAAACTGAAGCCAAAGAAGTAGATGAGCTGCTCAAGATCACACTGCCAGAGAATGAAAAAGCTGGGACCAGAACTCAGGAACCCGGTGGAAGTTTCCAGTGTCTCTCACAATGCCATGTGGTAAAACAGCAAATGCCATCTTATGAACAATAAAAGTATTACTATAACTCTCAGGGGTTCTGGGGACTCACATGACACAGTACTCATCATTCATATTTTCACAGAAGTTCTAAAGCAGAGAGTCAGGGATAACAATCCTCATCATTGAACCCTCATGGCAGGTATTAAAGTGAGTAAATAAAGACAGCACATCGATCAGCATGTGGATAGGGCGTCTTCTCTCAAGCATTAGTGGGTTTAAGCCTTAAGCAGGCCAGGAAAATTTTGCAGCCTGCATTATTACTGATAGTAAGGATGTCTGATGAGGCTGAATAGATTTAGTAGAAAAAAAGAGCTTATTTCTAGTGAATTGATTTGGAGGAAATAAAGTAAAAGCAGACTACAGAAAATTCTAGTTTGAAAGAAGCCATAATAATTCCACTATTCTCAAACAGGAGAAGGAGGGGAATTAGCAAGGCCCCTTCAGGTCCTAAAGTCGTCAAATGCGGAGAAGCAAGGCAACTTCAACTCTGCCTCTAAGTAATTCAAGCACACTTTTCCCCTTGGTAAAAACAAACGTTAGCATTTTCTTTTCATGGACCCAAATGCAGGGGGAATGGCAGAGTCTCCACAGGAAAGAATAAGCAAAGTCAGATGTAAAAACTATTCCAAAAAATGTCTGAGTCTGTCTGCTTAGAACAGAAGGATCCCAGAAAAAAGAAAATGTACTGCATGGGATTACTCTTTCTAGGTCTGTATGTAGCTTTCACATTTGGAGAAATAAGTGTACGTTTGGTGTTTTCAGTTTTTGGTATTTGCCAAACATACTGCAGTCATGGGTTAGTTACTCTGAGTATATTTAAGCACCGGTCTAAGTCTCTATTTGCCAACAATTAGTTGTCTGATGAAACATTCAAAAAGGAGAGAGGGCAGTGCAGTAGGTTAAGTGGATGACTCTTGGTTTCGGCTTAGGTCATTTCTCAGGGAAGGTCATGGGATAGAACTCAGCCCTGGACTCTGTACTCAGCAGGGAATCTGCTTCAGGATTCTCACCCTCTGCCCCTCCCCCTGCTCACTCTTGCACACTTTCTCTCTCCCTCAAATAAATAAATCTTCAAAAAAAAAAAAAAAAGATAAGAGGGGACCTAGGTGGCTCAGTGGTTGAGTCTACCTTTGGCTTAGGTCGTGATTCAGGGGTCCTGGGATAGAGTTCTACACTGGGCTCCCCGCAGGGAGCCCTCTCTCACATGAATAAATAAAATCTTTTGAAAAGAGAGAGAGAACATGAGAGAGGATAACAAGCCTAGACAGTACATAACCTCCAGTTACTATAACTGTTCATATTTCTAAAGAGAAAGCATGGTATATGGATAAACCATAGACCAGGGCTTAGTCAACTGGGTCACAAGGTCACATCATACAAAGAAATGTCTCATTATAATTTCAATTCTCTATCAGGAAAAAAGGCTAGACAAAGTTCAAGTTCTAGCACTAGCCAAGCACAGTCAGCTCTAGGAAATCTATAATATAAAATGCCTAGCTTCGACAAAGGTCCTGAGAGTGCTGTTTTTTAAACTCCATCCCCAGGGACACCTGGGTGGCTCAGCGGTTGAGTGTCTGCCTTCAGCTCAGAGGATGATCCCGGGGTCCAGGACTGAGTCCCACATCGGGCTCCTTGTGGGGAACCTGCTTCTCCCTCTGCCTATGTCTCTGCCTCTCTCTGTCTCTCATGAATAAGTAAATAAATAAACCTTTAAAAACATAAATTCCACCTCCAATTTTCACTAAATATTGCAGACAGGAAAAATATTTCAAGTTTGTTAGTAATTTTTCCACTTCATTGAAAAGAAATCTGTCTTGTGGTAAAACAGTCAAAGGAAACACAGTAAAATTCAAATGAAAAAAAATCACAAGAAACTTAAAAGTCAGATGTTATACTTCACATTGAAAGGTATTAATACCTAAAACTCTATTGATGTATTTCATCGAAAACATTAAGCACACAACCTGAGGACAAAGTAGAAGAGACACTCCACCCCTTCTCAGCAAGAGCTGGGTTAAACAGTGATAGAATCTGCACTTAATATTACCTGGGGCAGGAGAAACATTTGGTGACTCACACTCTCCTTTGTCAATTTTTAAATCAAAGAGCTCTTTTCTTTGGGAAGAAAAGAAAGGGAAAACTTTAAAATTACCCCTTTAAATTACAGGTCCAATAAACTAAACTATTCCCTTTTGGTCAGCTCAGTTTTAAAGTCAAGTCAATGCCTCTCCCCGCTCCCCAGAATCATGAGTCATATATCAAACATCTGGTACCCAGGAAATTTATTGCCATAAATTCAATTAATCTATCAAATGCCCACACTGAACATATACCATCTGAATTCCACAAAGATGCTGAATTTTCACTTTACCTCCTCCTAGCACTTCCATATTCCTACTGGTAAATGTGGGTTATTTTTCTCTCAACTAGAAAAAAAGAAAGTGCAGTGAACAAATCTTTCAGATTGCAGCTATCACATAAATAAAACCTGACCAAAGGGGAAAATGGGTGTCTCTATCCCTAACGCCTCCTTGGAATGTTTTGAAGTGGTTTAGAATCGTTCAGATATCTGCTCGTCTAAATATCAGACTAAGTCCTTACAAGCTACATCTCTCTTTTTAAGATTTTATGTGTTTATTCATGAGAGACACACAGAGAGAGGCAGAGGCACAAGCAGAGGGGGAAGCAGGCCCCCCGTGGGGCGCCTGATGCGGGACTCGACCCCAGGCGCCCAGGATGGCGCCCTGAGCCACCCGGGCACCCCAACGAGCTACGTCTACATTTGCCGCGGCAGTGGAACAACCAGCAGGGAGTACTGTGGGCGAGTACGATTTCAATCCTCAGCGCCAGAGTTTGAAGCCAATGATGTCGGGCCGCTCCCCGGAACGTTTAAGTAACCTAGCTGACGAGAAACGGACAGACTGAGATTTCAGAAGGTTTTATTTGCCAGGCTCTCGCTCTGGCGGAGGCAGGAAAGAGGGCAGCGCAGAGACAGGACACGATCGGGGCGCACGGCACAGAGCGAGTGAGACGAACCATCCTACGTGGGGCGGAGAACAGCTCTGCGCTTCCAGCCCTCGACCCTGCTCCAGAGGTCGGCGTCGCCCGCCAACAGCAGTGGCATCGGAGCGGACGGGGAAGCATCACCCACGGCCCCGGGAAGGGCTTCACCGCCCGGCCGGGGCACGGTGAGGAGCAGCGCCAACGCGCCCCGAGTAAGCCAGGCCCAGAGACTGCACCGCAAGCTCCGAACCGAGACTCCGAGACTTCCCCAAGCAGGGACCTGACCCCAAGGTCCTCGCTCTCCGGGCAGGCTGCAGAGACGCCGCCTCCTCCTATCTGCTTCCACCCCGCGGGCGGCAGGGCGTCCTCCACCGCGGGCTGGGGACCGAACTCGCCTCCCGCCGCCGAACCCGAATCCGTCCCTCCCGAGCCCGCCGCCAGCTCCTCAGAGCTCCCAGAGCGGACCGCCACGGTCTCTCTCCGTCCCTCCGCCCCGCTCGAGACGACACCGGCCACCACCCCTCTCGGACCTGTCCCCGCGGGGTCCGAGCCGGCAGCGCGACGCCTCCATCCCCGCGGCTCAGGAAGCGGCTACCAAGTCCAGAACCCCCGCGGCCGCCGCTCTGGGGGCAAGCCGGGCTGGCGGCCTGGCCCCGCCCCTGGCAACCGCACCCCGCACTGTTGCCTCCGCCTATTGGTCGTCGTGCTCGCCACTCGCCTCTCATTGGCTACTGCTGCCGCCCGGCGATGCTGGAGGGTTTCCAGGGGGCGGAGGCGCCGGGAATTAAAGGCGCCTGCGCGCGAAGGCGGGTGACGCGCTCGGTAGGGCTGGGTCGCTGGAGAGCGTCTCGGGACTCGGAGTCTGTGTTCGCGGAGGGCGGAGGGATGTGTTCGCGCCGGCTGCGTCGGCTCTCAGCGGCCGGGAAGTCGGTCCGTCCGAGGAGCGGCCCATCCCCCCCCAGCGGCCACCCACGGAGCGGCCTCCAAGCGTCCCCGAGACCACCCAGAGCGCTGCAAGAGGTCTGTAAGGTTAGGACGCACGGACCCCTGCCGGCTGCCTCCCAGTGCGGCCCCTCCCGACGCCGGAGCCTTCCGGGAACCAGTCTGTACCCCTCCAGCAGCCATCCCCCGTTAAGTGCATCTTTCATAGTTACCTGGTCTCGCTGTGCCACTGCACGAAACTCCCTCAGCCTCCCCCGCTCCAGCCCACGCTCTTAGAGCGTTGCGAGACCAACTGCAGACTCTAAGGACTTTCCCCGTTTACCTCTGCGGCCTGCGCACCATCTTCAAACATCCATATCCCATGGGATCTAAATATGTACTCTCGTTTCCAGTAAATCTTGCCGCCATTTCCTTTCTCAACACCAATTTACACATATCATTATAACCCCTACAAAACATCCTGGCAAAAGTTATCGCATGTTGTGTTTATAGCATTCCAAGGCCAGCTGTTTCCACATTGGGTGTTTGCCTAAGAGGCACAGAACTTGGCACAAGCTGGGAAAGCAGAGCATCGCCTCCGTGTGTCAGCCTCCACTCACTGTGTGACCCTAAACATGCTTCATTATCTGGGCTCCAGATTCCCATCTGTAAAATAAAAAGAATAATCCCTGCTTGTTTAGCTCTGGCTACGCCAAACACAGAGTAGGTTCTTCAAACTGAATGGATGCAGGTGAGAGAGATGCTGCCTGTATAGGTGAAAGGGCACAGGAGGCAATTTCTGACTGGGCAGTCCTGCATTAGTTACAGTAAGTAGTCTTCTCTGAAAAGTTTCCATATTTAATCACATTTTAAACAGTCACTATAAGAAATCATTTTCCCAGCCTACCCAATTTGATATTTACAGATTTCTCTGAATGGAAATAAACCATAACAGAGCAGACCCAAGTGACCTATGTCTCGTTATCACCCCTGATCCCACTATCTTCACTAAGACGGGGCTTGCTGCCTTTCCTCACCTTGGCCTTTTAGCAGACAGGCAAGGTTGCAGAGGTGGCGGCTCAACTGGAGTCAGAGTCCGCTTTTATTTTTCCCCATCCATCATGTCATAAAGGAAGCTGCGGCTGAACTTGACACAGAGCTGGTACTCAAAAATGTGCAATGAATTAGTTTGAATGTGTGATTAGAGGATTAATGAGCAGTGGTTTAAAAAAAAAACAACAATGAAGAAAGACCTTTCGTGGAGAAGGCAGTATTGCTGCATGATCAATAATCAGAAGCAGGGCTCTCTAAAACCTTTCTGCAAAAATAAAAATAAAAAAATAAAACCTTTCTGCAACCATTTATTTACATACATGCTAAATAGTTACTATAAGATACTTTAAAATTTTAAACAGTTACTATAAGAAAAATATGAAGCTGTTTATGACACTAAAAACTTCTTAGGAAAAGACATTTTAAAAAGCAAATCTGGGAACTGATTTCCCTTATGATTCCAAGGTCCTAGTTAAGATATTTTTTTCTATTGATATTATTGGTATCATTTCCATTTTATCCTCCTGATGTACTCTCCTGTGAGCCAGAAAAGTACTTTAGCAACTTTATGAAAATTTCTTGAGACTGCTGGTGTCTGAGAAATCCAGTGAGTTTTTCACAAGGAACTGGTTTTCGTTCAGCTTCCCTCTCTCCCTGAGGTAAGTGAACAAGTGGCGTCGTCTCCTCCACGTGACCTTGATCCCATACTTCTCCTCAGGAGTGTCTTTAACTAGAACAGGCCCAGGCTCTAGGCTCTTGGGAGTACTAGTGTGGAAGGAGCAGCTTGGAAGGCTCCCTTCCCTCTGACCAGGGGAAACGGGACCCTCCTTCACAAATGAGGACTCTGGGGTATGGATATCAGGTGGAATGAACAGGTACGATAAGTCTTGAAGCATGTGTGCTGATGCTTCCTTAAAGCTTTGAGGACTGAGCATTGGAACTAAGAGCCTTCCAGAAATGCGCTTCTCTGACTGATTGGGGCATTCACTGGTTAAGGGGGTCCTATGTGTGGCTGAACCAGAAGACAAGGGTGGACTCTCAAATGTTAGATGTGGGAACTTGGAGGTGGTACATTTTCGACTTGAAGGTCTTGCCTGGTTTCGGTGATGACATTTCTGGTTCACCGGGAAGCAGCTTTCTGCCGTCATATTAAACTGAGGTGATACCTTAAAGGTCAAAAACAAAAACAAAAAGAAGTGAGGAGAGCCAGTTACCAAGTACGAACCTGAGGGAGGGAACTATATCCAAGGACCAGAATTCTTAATGGGGGCCCCCAATAGCAATGGACACAACAAAATAAAATATCTAATAGGATATTAATAAGAAAGGGGTATGAGCTTTAGGCAAATTATAGTTGATATCTCCGGATTTCCATTCCTCATGTTCAAGAAAAGGGACAATGCCTTCTTCACTTTATCACACCATACAGCTGCAACTAGTTTAACTATCTTTAAACTTTGAGGGGATCCCTGGGTGGCGCAGCAGTTTAGCGCCTGCCTTTGGCCCAGGGCGCGATCCTGGAGAACCGGGATCGAATCCCACGTTGGGCTCCCGGTGCATGGAGCCTGCTTCTCCCTCTGCCTGTGTCTCTGCCTCTCTTTCTCTCTGTGTGACTATCATAAATAAATTTTTAAAAAATTAAAAATAAATAAATAAACTTTGAGGACAGAGACCAGCAGTGTTCTTCACTTTTGATGCCCCGCGCCTAGCAGGGTGCCTGGCACAAGGAAGGCCCCCAGTAGAGCAAATGCTGAGTGCCAGAATAGAGAGTGAGATCACGTATGGAAAGCAACTAGCATAAGACCTGGCATGTGATGAGTTCTCAATACATGTTCATTCCTCTTCTCATCCACGGGATTCTAACACTTCAGTTCCTTCTACAATCCTGAAGCAAGTATTATGGTTCTTCCAAGCAATCCTGAACAAATTATATTTATTAAGCATGCCTAAGTGAAGTTTATGTTTTTGTCTAGCTCTCTGGCTACACTACTTTCCTGACAGTAGCTATAGTCTTTTCCCAGGGCTTTGAAACTATCAAAATACAACCTGCTGTTTCTGTGGGGTTTTCTCCAGGCTCAGTCTACTAAACAGTGAATATAGTATCTAGCTAAATAGTTTACCTGTCACATGAAGCTTGGAGAGTAATCTCATTTTTTACTCATTCTGCCATTTATCTGGCTTCTTCACCAAGCTACTGGGTAATGAAATTTTTATACTGAACTCTTTTAAGAGGAATCTAGTGGGAAAGACTCCAAACACAACCAGCCTATGTTTCAGCTTGGACTCAGAAAAGAAGATACACCAGAGAAGATGGCTGATGACAGAAAGAATACACATTGCCTCCTTGTCCCTGCCCCCATGAATCTTCAGAGGCCATAGTTCCAGGGGCAGAAGGGTCAGAATTCTGAGAAGCCTAACAGAGCAAAAGTCAAAGTTAGAATCCCATGGCCTACCCAGGAAGTGATGGTGCTGTGGTCAATGGGCTTGCTGGACACCTGTCTAGTGTGGGAGATGGGACGTTGGGGAGAGCCATAGTGGTGTTTGGGGCCCTCCAGTGGTTCTTGTTGGAATAGCAGCTGGGCTTTCCGGGAAGGTTGGCAGCGTTTTTTTCTGGGAGGCATCAATAGGTGAATGAAGAGCAGTTAGTAACCACATGATGCTGGTTGTAGTCAGGTTGGGGTTCAGGCTCTGATTCCAACCCATGCCTGCAGAGAAAAAAAACAAAAGCTGGGAGACAATAATTCTGATGATTCCATCCCCAGCTCTTGCTCATACTCTGCCAACCAGTTCTTCAATCAACTACCACTCACTCCTACCTCAACACCTTGAGGAGTACAGCTTTCTATTCCTACAGCACCAAGTAAAAACACTGTAGTTCACATTCGACAACATTCATTCAATGCACCTTTATCGAGCACCTGTTGAGTGCCATTCTGGGTGTTGGGAATTTAAAGATGAACAACCATTGACGCTACAATTATTTATCAAGTGCCAAGCACCTGTAGAGCCACCTAGGTGAGACTGTATCTGTCTTCAAGAGCTGAGAGTCTAGCAGAGGGAGACAATTACGATAATGAGAAGAATGCTTCCATTCACCCCAGGGGCGGCTTTCTAGAGAGGGTGATATCTGACCCAGTAAGGAATGGCTAGGGAAGCCAGAAAGCAGAAAGCGAGGCACTCCAGGCTGAGGAATAGCATATAAAAGCATGGAGACATGAAGGAGCATTGTAAATTCAAGGTGTCATAGACTCCAAGGAGCTGGACGCAGCATATGAAAAGAAAAATGCAAGAACTCAGAGGCTGGACCCAGTGTCAGGGTCAGGTCAGAAAAAGCAGGTGTGCAATATATTATATTTTATAATGTATTATATTTTGAACATAGTAGAATGAGTAATATGATGAGCCCCCATGTACCCATCACCCAGTTCCAACAACCATCAACCCACAGCCAGTCAGGATCCATCCATACCCTATATCCACTTCCCTTTCCCTTGTATTATTATGAAGAAAAGATATTCCCAACCATTATATCATCCCCATTAACATGTGTGTGTGTATGTCTTTCCTTAATATTATCAAATATCCAGACATGTTCAAATTTTCACTTGTTTCATAAATATCATAATGGGTTTTTCTTTTAGACAGATCATCCTGGCAACAGTGTGAAAGGAGGGGAGTACTCTCGTGGTAGGGGACCAGTTTTAGGAGGTTACTCTGTTACTTAAGTGAGGAATGATCAGGCCTGAATCTGGGCTGTGTCAGTGGAAATGGGAAGCTAGATACAGGAGGAGGGAGGATCAACAGGACCACAGAGTAAGAAAAATCTGAAAAAAGTGTCCACTGACTCCAGTAACCAGATTGACTTTTTTTTTTTAAGGCTTTATTTATTTATTAATGAGAGACACACCGAGAGAGGCAGACATAGACAGAGAGGGAAGCAGGCTCCTCAGTGAGCCTGATGTGGGACTCGATTCCAGGACCCTGGGATCACGCCCTGAGCCAAAGGCAGATGCTCAACCACTGAGCCACCCAGGTGCCCCCAGATTGACTTCACTGAGAACTTCATCGGTGGAAGAGTGGGATAGAAGTTTGCAGGCAATGGAGAGGGGCATGGGAGGTACAGTTGAGCATCCAGGCAAGTCCCATAGGCAGGCACACTGGTTCCCTGACACATTCATGATTCATTCAGTTAGCCAACAATAAAAAGTAACATACTCTGTTTGATGTCACTAGGCAGTGGAGATACAGGTAAAGAAAACAGAAAGGACAAAATCTCCACCTTGGGCGCTAACATTTTTAGGGACAATACAGGTAATAAATACAGCCATTTGTTCGTTCATTCAGGCATTCAACAAATATTTCACTGAGTGCCCACAGTGTGAGGTGCTGTTCTCGGTGCTGGAAATCTATACTAGGGAACAAAATGAAATCCCTGCCCTTGTGGTGCTTACACCTAGTTGGAACATGACTGTGGAGAAAAACCAAATAGAATAAGAGGTTGAGCCGACTCAGTGCTCTTCTAGACAGGGTGGCCAGGGAAGGCAACTGAAAAAGTGGTATTTGAGCAAAGGCCTGAAATGAAGAAAGGAGAACAGGCTTTAGAAAGGTGAGAGTGCAGAATATTCCAGGCTTCAAGAATAGTAAGTGCAAAAATCACAAGGTAAGAATATGCCTGATTTGTTCAAGAAACAGGTCAGCATGGCTCAACGAGTGACAGCAGACGAGAACCAGCTCGTGTGAAACAGGGCTTCAGAGGCAAGGTTAAGGACCCTGGATCTAATTATTCCTGGTGTGACAGGAAGCAAAGCTCTGGACAGGGGAACGACATTTATACTTTTCAAAGAGAACTTCAGGCACTCTGTGCAAACAGGTGGGTTGGGGAGGAGGCATGGAGAAGGAAGCAGGGCGCCCAGGTAAGGCTGCTGCAGGAGGCCAGAGGAGAGATGACAGCAGTTGCAGTGGCTCCACTCAAACTGTTGACATTAGCCAGCCTCCAACAGACATTGCACAGCTACAATCCTACTACGTTTCCTTCATCAACTCATTATCCACAAATTATCTTAAGATCTTTCCACTTTCTTAAACCTTAGAACTCCCCTTCTCTCTTTAAAAATAACCTTATTCCCTACTTTGCAGAGAATGTGGTAGACATCAAAGAGAATACTCTCACTTTCCAGGTACCAAACATACAAACCTATGTATATCTGCATCCATTTTCTTGATGCTATAACCACAGGTAAGTTCCATTATGCTCCCTAAAACCTCTCCCTCTGGCTGTGCTTTGGAACTCTTACTCTGTACATCTTTCTTAGGCAATCATACGCTCAAACCTACAGATGGATGACTTAAATATTTATCTACTCAGCTTACAAATCTTCACACTCAAGACCCACATAGCCGCTATCTACTTGACAGCAACTAGATGTCTCAGATGCACCTCAAACTTAACACTCAATTCATGATCTTCTCCCCTGCACCCGCCCCCCCCCCCCAGGTGATTATTATCTTCCAGGGCCCTTGCTCGGGGTATGGCATTATCATTCATCTAGTTATGCATCCAGAAACACTGACCTGGCCCCCCTCTCCCCATCCAACACCACCAAGCCCTAACAATCTTACCTCTTACCTATGTCCTCAGTAATGCCCCTTTCTCCCTTCTCTTGCTCTCATTTTCTCCCCACCACCCTTCAAGTTCCAACAATTCTGGTCTGAAGTATCACAATAGCCTAATGGGTCTACCCTAATCTACTCCAGCGCCCCCTGCAGAGGAAGCCTTTTAAAAATGCCTATCTGGGGGAATCCCTGGGTGGTGCAGCGGTTTAGCGCCTGCCTTTGGCCCAGGGCGCAATCCTGGAGACCCGGGATCGAGTCCCACGTCGGGCTCCCTGCATGGAACCTGCTTCTCCCTCTGCCTGTGTCTCTGCCTCTCTCTCTCTCTCTCTCTCTCTCTCTCTCTCTCTCACTGTATGCCTATCATAAATAAATAAAATAAAATAAATCTAAAAATGCCTATCTGGGGGCACCTGGGTGACTCCATCGGTTGAGTATCTGCCTTGGGCTGAGGTCATGATCATCTAGGTCTTGGGATGGAGCTCCACGCCCGGCTCCCTGATCAGTGGGGAGTCTGCTTCTCCCTCTTCCTCTGCCCTCGCCCGTTCCATGCCCTCTCTCCTGTGCTTTTTCTCTCTCAAATAAAATCTTAAAAAATAAAAATAAAAATGCAAATCTGATCTTGAATCACTTCTGCCTAACATTTTTGATTTCTGGCTAAGGACCAAACACCCTCAGTTATGGCTAAGGTCCTACGTCCTCGGCTCCAGCTTCGTCTCACAGCGCACTCCACTCCGGCCTCTCAGCTCTGACCCCTCAGCCATCCTTCAGCCTTTGTCCACACCAATCTTCCTCCTGCCACACAGCCTTTGCGCACCTTCTTCCCTTTGCTTGGCGGGGTTCACGCTCTTCCTTGCACAAGCGCATCAGGTCTCGGAACAAGGTTCCGTTCAGAAAAGCCTTCCGTGACCTGCCGACGGCAAGATCTTGTAGATACCGTTATCAGTGACCTCTCGTTTATCCCCTCACAGCTGTAACCCTCCTTTTGCTTGCTGGAGCCTTCAAAACCGGCCTCTCCTCTTCCCATTAGGCTGCACGCACAGGAAGGAAAGAACCTCCCCGCCGCTGTGTCCCAGCGGGGCCTGGCACGGAGCAGGCGCTCGGCCAAGGGGGTCGCCGAGTGAACCAAGTACGACTACGGCGCGGCCTTTAGTTTTAAGAGGCAGTTAGCTCGGACAGGCCGAGAGGCGCTCGGGCGGCCGGAGGCCAGCGGGTCGTTAGCCGAGGTGGGGGAGGAGCCGCCCCCCCCCCCCGCCCCGCCGCAGGGAGGCCGGGCCCGGGACGCCGAAAAGGGCCGGGAGGCGGGAGGCGGGAGGCGGAGGCGGGAGGCGGGAGGCGGAGCGCGGCGCCGGGGGCGGGCTCCGGGAAGCGGCCGCCACGCGCGAGGGGGCGCAGGCCGAGGCGCCCGGCAGGGCAGCGCCGCCGCCCGCCGCCCGCCGCCGCCTCCCGCCGCCGCCGCCCGGGCTGCCCCCCGCCTCCCGCCGCCGCCTCCCGCCGCGCCCCGAGGGCGGCCCCGGCGGCCCGCTGCTCCCTCCCCACGAGCCGACCGCAGGCCGCCTTACCCGCCCGGCGGCGTCCCGGCCGCAGCTCCCCGGGGCCGCAGCGTCCCCCGGGCCCGGAACGCGCAGACAAGGGCGGCCGCCGATTGGCGACGCCCCGTCACGTGACCGCAACGCTCCGCCGGCGCCAATTTCAAACAGCGGAACAAACTGAAAGCTCCGGTGCCCGACCCCACCCCCGGCCCCCGGCCCCCGGCCCCCGGCCCCCGGCCCGGGACCCCTCCCCTCCCGGGATCCGCCGGGATTCCCCACCCCTCCCGCACCGCCGGGGACCCGGCCGGCCTGGCGCGAGCCCCCGTGCGGGCCCCCGGCTCGGCCCCCGGCTCGGCCCCCGGCTCGGCCCCCGGCTCGGAGGAGCCCGGAACCCGCCCTCGGAGCCACAGCCCAGCGGCGGCGACTGCTGCAGTCGGGAGGTGAGCGGGGGGCGGAGGAATGGAGGCCGGGCGGCGGCTGGGAGGCCGGGCTCGGGCGCCGAGCTCAGGGGGTCGAGCGGCCGGCGCGGGACCCGAGCGGAGGTTTGGGGCCACGCGGGACCAGGGCTGAGCGGCGGAGCAAGCCTTCTTTGCATCCCGCCTCCCGGCCTTGCCCTCGCTTCTTTCTCAGACCACCTCTCGGCCTTCCCTGGAAGTTCGACCTCTGCACCCTGCCCACAACTTCGGGAGGGCTGCTGGGGTGGCCTGCTTTCCTAGGCAGACCGTGGCTGGCGTGAAGATCGAGCTGCTTCTGCATTACATAGGAGGCAAGCGCGCCCACAGCCTCCCAGCGCCCAGGCGCCCTCACCACGGGGCAGCACTGCCTCCACTCCACCCTTTCCAAGGCCCTTCCCCTGGTGCCTGAGCACCTGCAAGCTTTCCCCGGTCAGGATGGGCAGTGCTGTCAGAGGAGTCACTCTGGAAGTCCCCTAGGTTAGATCAAGTGTTGCCAATGATAGCAAGAGACTGGTGAGAGAGTTGAAAGCAAAATGAAGCCTTGGACCAGGAAGATCTCTTTTGGGGACAGGGAAGGAATGATAGTATTTACGGATTGGTGGGGGAACGGAGGGAGGCCCGAAGAGATATGAGGGAGAAATAAAACCGATATTTGAAAGTAGAGGAAACCTAGTTATAAAAGAAAGGGAGGAGGCGGAGGGGAGAGAGCCTATGAACTCTAAGCAGATGGCAAATGTCATAGGACCAAGACAGTCATCTTTTGGGAGATAGTGGATGACCTAACACAGACAGCCCATTCCTCTGGCCAGGAGTACGCAATTTTACATGATAGAGTATCCTGTGTATTTTTTAAAATCAAACCCAATTTTGTTAAAAGATAAAACTACTTTCCTTAACATGACAAAACCACTTAGCCTATTGATGACAGGACATTCTCTTAGCAGATAGGGTTTTATTCTTGGTTCTGGAAGAGAAATTAAGCAATAGAGTAACATGCTTAGAAAGTTAAAATATGAATCAAGCACATGCAAATACTAAAATGTCACTATAGAAATATTTTGCAGATTGTGAAAGAAAAGTGTACTTTTTCTTTTGCCAGTGCAAGGGTGGTAGCCTGTGATATGAATAGCACCATGGGCCCTGAATAGAGCAGTTTCCATTTTCTTTGAGGTCTTATGGAGGAGGTGTTGGCAAGGGAGCAATAGTACGATCTACCTTTCTCCTCTGATACTATGGGTGCTGATCCTTTTATTTATAAACTAATATGATATAAAAAATATACAGGCTTTATCAATCCTGAAATAGATTATGGGATCAGAGGTTTTTGGGTTTTTTTTTTGTTTGTTTTGTTTTGTTTTTTAAAGATTTTATTTATTCATGAGAGACACACAGAGAGAGAGAGAGAGAGAGAGAGAGAGAGGCAGAGACACAGGCAGAGGGAGAAGCAGGCTCCATGCAGGAAGCCTGATGTGGGACTCGATCCCGGGACTAGGATCATGCCTTGGGCCAAAGAGAGAGAGAGAGAGAGAGAGGCAGAGACACAGGCAGAGGGAGAAGCAGGCTCCATGCAGGAAGCCTGATGTGGGACTCGATCCCAGGACTAGGATCATGCCTTGGGCCAAAGGCAGGTGCTAAACCACTGAGCCACCCAGGGATCCTGGAATCAGAGTTTTTGTCAGGACTTCTCAAATTGCCAAATGTCCTCCTATTTCAGCATTCCCGCCCCTCGAGTCACTGCAAGTGGTCTGTATAATAATAAGCAGTAATAGAAATTTCCACACTTTTGTAACTGTCCCATTCATTTCTCTAGCCAACATTCTTAAGCTTCTGGAAGACCTTTGGCCTTGTTGACCTATAATCAACCCAGTCCCACTTTCCCCTTTTGAAATGTCTAGGTTTAAGCTTTCTTTTGTCATAGAACTCATCTCCTTATTGTCTGATGTCTTTACAGAGGCCCAGGGATCATTAACCTGGACCCATGGGCTCTTGCTTTTGGTCTTGGAAAGAGGAACACCTCTCTCTAGCAATACCTCCTTCTCAGCCTAACAAATCTCTGACATCCTGCTGTTCCTTGCACTTTCCAGGGTCCGTGCTTGTGATTCTCAATGGAGAGTGAAAGCACAGATTCATAATGAAAACCAGCCCCCGTCGGCCACTGATTCTCAAAAGACGGAGGCTGCCCCTTCCTGTTCAAAATGCCCCAGGTGAAACATCAGGAGAGGAACCTAAGAGGCCCCCTGCCCAACAGGAACCTGGTCAAGCACAGGCCTCCAAGGAGGCAGCAGAGTCCAACTCTTGCAAGTTTCCAGCTGGGATCAAGATTATTAACCACCCCACCATGCCCAACACCCAAGTGGTGGCCATCCCTAACAATGCCAATATACAGAGCATCATCACAGCATTGACCGCCAAAGGAAAAGAGAGTGGCAGCACTGGGCCCAACAAATTCATCCTCATCAGCTGTGGGGGAGCCCCCACTCACCCTCCAGGACCCCAGCCTCAAGCCCAAACCAGCAATGATCCCAAGAGGACAGAAGTGGTCACCGAGACCCTGGGATCAAAGCCAGCAGCTAGGGATGTGAATCTGCCTAGACCACCTGGAGCCCTTTCCGGGCAGAGATGGGAGAGCTGTGGTATGTGGTCTGCAAGGCAAAGGGGTGAAGAGCCCAGCCTTTCCTCTCTGGTAGCAAGGACTGCAGTCCATCAAGTTGATACTTCACAGGCACCTAGCCTGAACCAGGGAAAAGTCTTGTCTTTCTTCATCCCCAGTCGTTGACCCAGATCTTTTGGGCGCTGTCAAAAGTGCCCAAATAATAATTTGGCATTTCTCTGATATTCCTTATATGAGAAAAGGATTTGTTTATTTTTCTTAATTATCTTCTCCATTGACCATATAAGGAAATAGGAATTTCCCCCCATTTTAATAAAGGAGAAAACTGAAGCATGAGGAGGAAAAGTGACTTTGTCCAAATACGAATTCTTTTGTTAGTTGGGTTGCCTTGACTGATCTCTCAGGCTGAGTGTGACTTCTGATTCTCTCCTGAAATCCATAATGGGGCAGAGTACCTGAGAGCCACAGTAGATTCAGCACGTGTTCCCTGTCCCTATGGGTAGAGGTCTTGGAGAAATGCTCCCTAACCACCGATTTTGGGGCCTACCGGGCACTGGTTCAGGCAGCTAAGTGGCATCTTGGATTGTTTCCCCTCTAGCTGGCAGTGAGGCAGCAGGCTGCACTCTCGACAACAGCTTGACTAACATCCAGTGGCTTGGAAAGATGAGTTCGGATGGACTGGGCCCCAGCAACATCAAACAAGAGATGGAGGGAAAGGAGAATCGTCACCTGGAGCAAAGTCAGGTAAAGTCAGGTAAAGGTGAACTGTTCGGTCACTCACTAGGGAAGTCAAGGCCACTGCAGGGAATTTCTAAGGAGGGAAATGGATCAGGTGGTGTGTGGAGGACAATCCCTAAGTTCTGGTGTCACCACTTCACTTAGTGTGATTCTGTATAACTTTGGAGCTGCCATTTGTCTTGGAATCTTTTCTGCCCCATCTGTGAAATTTCCTTGAGGGCAGATGCACCTGGCTTACTCTGTATTCCGTTAGCAGTTTAGTACTCTGCCTTTCGCAGGTGCTTAGTCGGTATTCAGGAAATGATGAAGAGATCTTAGTTTGGAAAGCCACTTGAGCTTTAAAGAGGCACCCCAATGGTATGAAAGGAATAGAGCATTTTTAGAGAATAGTTTTATTAGAAGATAAATTAATAGCAAATAAAGTGAGTTAGGTGTGAGTTTTAAATACTTCCCTGGTAATCAAACTTGATTTGACCCAACTATGCAGCCTGGGGTTGTTTTTCACAGTTGCCATATTGTTGCACATGCCCTTAGATCATTCATTCAGTAAACTTTAAAAGGGAAAAGTTACATGGATGTGTGCAAAAGTAAAAAGCTGTTCACTTCAAACTTATGCACTTTTTAAAATTAGAGCTCGGGTTTTTTAATTTTTGTATCTATTATTTTTAAGATTTATTTTATTCCAGACAGAGAGAAAGAGAGAATGTGTGAGCCAGGGGCAGGGAGGGGAGGCAAAGGGCAGAGAGAGAATCTCAAGCTGACTCTGAGCTGAGCACAGAGCCCAACCCAGGGCTCAATCCCACAACCCTAAGATCATAACCTGAGCTGAAACCAGGAGTCAGATGCTCAACTGACCAAGCCACCTAGGTGCTCCAGAGCTCAGTTTTACAAATGTGACCGATCAGCTCTTTGCCTAAGACTTGGCCAGATGTATGCTTTGCAGACATTTGGGAATATCTGTCTTATACAAACAGTGAAAAGAGATGGGTTTGTTCACATCACAGCAATAGTAGAAAGCGGACAAAGACCTTGGTCTCTTGACTCCCGGGTCTGAAAAATGAGTATGGTTTTAGTATAAAATCAATGCTTTAAGAATCATAATATACACCCAAACTTTCCTGAGAGATTTCAACTAGCAAAGACTGGACCTTCACTTATTATTGGACAATATATTCAACAAAATGAACAATGACAGGGCATCTGGGTGGCTCAGTTGGTTCAGCATCTGCCTTCAGCTCAGGTCATGATCCCAGAGTCCTGTGATCAAGTCCCGCATTGGGCTCCCTGCTCACTGGGGAGCCTGCTTCTCCCTCTCCCTCTGCTGCTTCCCCTGCTTGTGCGCTCTCTCTCTCTCTCTCTCTCTCTCCATGTCAAATAAATAAAATCTTTTTTAAAAAATGAATAATGACAGAAGTGGCTCCACCTTGGCTAGGGACTGGACTAGATCATCGCTACCCTTCCTAATCCTAAAATTTTGTTCTGTGGAATAGTTGTCTCAGATGAGCTGGTTTCTAGCATGGTTCTGCAGGTTAAAAGGTTTCTCTAGGGGATGTTCTTTGAGGGGGCTCCAGGGAGGTCTTATGAATTCTTCCATGTCATTTCTTTTTCTTCTTACCTTTGGCTTCTCATAACTCTCAGGTTGAGGAGACCCCGGGAGCGTCAGCATCCTGGCAGGACTCTGTGTCTGAGCGGCCGCCATACTCTTACATGGCTATGATACAGTTCGCCATCAACAGCACCGAGAGGAAGCGCATGACCTTGAAAGACATCTATACTTGGATCGAGGATCACTTCCCCTATTTTAAGCACATTGCCAAGCCAGGCTGGAAGGTATGTAACAGCCCGTAGTGACCAAAGCGAAGGTCACTCTGGCTGGGCAGTTTGTCCTCATAGATGTGCAGCAGTTTCTGTCTGGTGCTCTGAGTAACAGTTAAATGCAAAAAAAGCTGGAACTGAAAACAGTTGTATCTCAATCCTGCCAAATCAGGGCAAGATGGTCAACAGGAGCTCTACAACCACTTCCTTGGTCCCTCCCTGAGGTCCCAAAGGGTAGAGATCCGGGAGAGACTGTCCAGGGTAGCACTGAGCCTACTTTTGTGCTACGTTGGATGGCAGTTGGAGTGACTAAGTAGCTTTATGAAAAGATCTTAGGGACGCCTGGGTGGCTCAGTGGTTGAGCATCTATCTTTGGCTCCAGGCATGATCCTGGGGTTGTGGGATCAAGTTCCACATTGGGCTCCCCAAAGAGAGCCTGCTTCTCCCTCTGCCTGTGTCTCTGCCTCTCTGTGTCTTTCATGAATAAATAAATAAAATCTTTAAAAAAAAAAAAAAAGAAAGAAAGAAAGAAAAGAAAAGGTCTTCGTGGAAAAAAAAAATGCTGTCCATGAGCTTTGTGACTGAAGATTCACCTCCTCTAATGTCATATGTTGTCTCCAGAAGGCAGGGACTTTATTGTACTTGTGGGAACACTGAGATCCCTTGGAGTGCCTATGGCGCATGCTACACCGTCAGAGCCACAGTGCTGGTCTTCTGACAGATGGGCAGCTCCAAGCAAGAGTTTTTGGTTTTGTTTCCTCCACGGTAGAACTCTTCACACTCTTACCTCAATGAAATTTCCTTAGCTGCTTAGTTTCCTTGCTCATCTATCTTGCTGCTGATTGCTTCACAGCCTTGGTCCTCTTTCCTAGCTACTGACGGCCATCTAGGTCTTTTCTTTATCACCAGCTGCTGGACTGATGGCTTTATGGCCCAGCTTGCAGGGAGAGAGGTGCCAGTTGACAAGATCAGTAGGCAAGATCTTGAGGACGCTGCTGGCTATGGATAGGGGGAGGCAAGGCTGATATCCACTGGGGAGAGATCAAAGGGGATGACTCTGAAGCTAAAGTAGCTGTCTTTCTCTCCGGCAGAACTCCATCCGCCACAACCTTTCTCTCCATGACATGTTTGTTCGAGAGACATCTGCCAATGGCAAGGTCTCCTTCTGGACTATCCACCCCAGTGCCAATCGCTACTTGACATTGGACCAGGTGTTTAAGGTGAGTATCCTGGTTTCATCTAAATGGGGCCAGAATTGGGCATCGTAATCTCTGTCTCAAAAGGAAATGAATCTTCCTTGTGATGATCTTACCTGGCCAGGGCAGAGTTAGAAGCCAGCCAGCCCAGAGACGACCTGCGTAAAACTAGCTGAATTAAATACAATTGACACACACACCAAATGACATACTTCTGTTCTAGGCTAGGCCACAGAGAGGACTGCTCGGATCCAAATAGATGACTTCCCTGGGCAGTGTTTCCCTAGCTGCCTTGTGGATAAGAATTGCCTGTGATGCTTATTAAAATACAGGCCCCTCTGTTGTGGCTTCTGACTTAGTGGGTCTGGGATGGGCCTAGGAATATGTATTTTGAGCAAGCATCTCTGGTGATTCTTACAGAGGAAGTCTAGAGAAGATTGTTTTCAAAGATCGCTTCTTTAGCCTGGAGACCAGAGATTGAGCCACCAGAACATCTTTGCAGAAGTGATTGTTTTGGGATTTCAGAGTGCCCATAAGGCTGCTGCTAGCTATAAGTGTTCCCCGGGAGGGAGAGTTGTCCCCAGTGGCCCTCAGCGTCAAACAAGAATAGCTGTTTTTCCCGATCCAGTCAGACTGACCACGCTGGTGGTAACTTCATCTCATTTCTCTCCCACAATGCCTGACCGCCACCAGCCACTGGACCCAGGGTCTCCACAATCGCCTGAGCACTTGGAATCAGTAAGATTCTTTTCCTCCTGGCTCGGGGCTTGGCCTTGTTTTCCTTTCACTGCTCAGCATGGCTCTAGTGGACAAGGGAAGGGAGCCTGTGTGCCGTGTGACTACCAGCCCTAAATGCAGAGCACCCTAAGCATCTGGGAGGAAGGAAATTGATGGCCACCACCTCCTCTTCCTCCCCACGCCCCAGCTCATGCCCACTTCTCCTCCCCCGTGATGGGCACGATGAAGGTGCACGGAGCAGAGCAGGGTGTGACAGGAGGACACACCGCGGGCTTAGTGCAAGACGGCAATGGCAGGTGCATGGTGTAGGCCTGGCAGGCGGCAGTTTTCCCTCACTTTTCTACCTGGCTTTTCTTGGCCGCTCGTAGAACTACATGCTTTAGCATCCCCTGGGGGCGGCGAGGACACATGGATGAGGTGGTAGGACTGTCCTGCCATCGTCTATCTGTGCCATCCACCTTTTCCCGCTAACCAGGCTTTGGAGACAGTGTTCACCTGTATTCACCCCAGACCAGCCTTTTCATTCTGGGCTGTCGGTTAGCTCAGTGCACGGCATCGGAAGCAACTGGTGGGTTCTCCTGCCTTCTCCCCCTGCCTTATTAACCCAGATTTCTTTCTCTCCCTATCTGCCACAAGCAGCAGCAGAAACGACCCAATCCTGAGCTCCGCCGGAACGTGACCATCAAAAGCGAACTCCCACTAGGCGCACGTTAGTATGGGAGAGTGGGCATCAGGCTGGTCCTTGCTCTAGGGGCATATTTTAGAGAACCAGACCACGGGAGTCTATGCCCAGCTCAAAGGAGGCTCTGAGCCCAGAGAAGGAGAGCAGAGCTCCTGGGCTTGAGAAGGGGTGTGTCCCTGGACTCCTGCTCTTCATCTCTCCTGTGTCCTCCTAGGGCGGAAGATGAAGCCACTACTGCCACGGGTCAGCTCGTACCTGGTACCCATCCAGTTCCCAGTGAACCAGTCACTGGTGTTGCAGCCCTCGGTAAAAATGCCACTGCCCCTGGCAGCTTCACTCATGAGCTCAGAGCTTGCCCGCCATAGCAAGCGAGTCCGTATTGCCCCCAAGGTGAGTGGCTTCTGCTCTCCTCTGAGGAGAGACACCAGTCAATTAAAAGCGTTGGGCCTATTGTTGGCAAGCACTCTGCTCAGTGTTCCTTGAGAAGCTTATGAATCTAGTTGGGTAGACCAGGCATTTTCCTTTGTGACAACTAAGGAAAATTCAAGAACATTGTAAGAGTTAAAAAGGACTGTGGATTATTAGTGTACGTGGTGTCAGAAGCCCATGAGTACTTGAGTTTATAAGAATTCAGACAAGGGGGATTATGAGAGGTGGGCTGGGATGGGTAAGGAAGAATTTACAAGGGAAATTGGTTTTAGAAGGACATACATTTGGGCAAGCAAACAGGTGTGTTAACAGCATTCTAATGACCAGTACCATGGGGGCAGGAGATGCCAGTTTATACCCAGTAATGGTAGAGTGGTTGGGTTAGTCTTGCTCAGGGGTTCTCAGTCTCCATACTATTGACATCTAGGGCTGGATAATTATTTGTTGGGGGCGGATAGGTACGGTCCTACCCACTGAGGGATCTTTGGCAGCATCTCTTGTCTCTCCCCACTAGATCCCAGGAGCAACCCCCAGTGTGACAATTAAAATGTGTCCAGGCATTGCCAAATGTCCCCTAAGGGGCAAGAGAGTGGGGATATGGCCCCCAGGTTGAGGACCAGTGGTCTAGCTTGAGGAGAATGTGAGGAGGGTAAGTCAAGATCCTATACACTGATGGGCTACCAAGTCTGGGCTTACCTCAGTGCAGAAGGATTTATGAGCAAGAGCCAACTTAGAACAAAGCAGAGAAAAGGGCCCCTTGTGCCTCCTTCATTGAAATAGAAATAGCATAGGCTCTGGAGTTTAAAGGGACTTGGGTTTACTTTATATTTTTTTAATTTTAAAAATATTTTTTTAAATGTACATAAAATTATATATACTACCATATATAATTTTACCTAAATGTATCCATGTGACTAGCACATACCCTGTTTTTGTTTTAATGCAGTCTTTTTTTTTCTCTCTCTCTTTTCTTCTTGGTGTCTCCCCTCCCACCACCTTCACTCGCATCCCCATGATGACAATTTAGTATGTTTGTTTTTATGATTTATCCCTGCTCTTCGTGTATGGTACATACGCATGTAGCCATAGCCACTTTATACATGCACATACAACACCCAGAATGTTCAAAATGGGATCACATTACACTTTTCTGCCACTGGGAAATTCTTCCAATCACATGGCATCGGCTCTTAATGGCCACATAATATTCCACCATGTAGCTGTGCCATAAATTTTCCAGCCATTCCACTTTTATGGGTACATTTTGTTTCTAGATTTTTTTGCCCTATGAACAATACTGCAATAAATATCTTTGCAAGTACCTTTCTTACAAACGTTTTTATTTTGTGGGATAGGAAACTAGACATGAGGTTGCCCAGTGGAAAGGTGTTTTCCATTTTATTATATCTTTCCAGTTAGTGGTTTCCCAAAAAATATACAATAATTTACATCTCTCCCAGCATTATGTGACAAGACCTATATCTTTGCCAGCAATTGGTAATCATAGTCTTTTAAATATTTGCCCATCTGCTATGTATAAATGATATCACCTTGTTTCATTTGATTTCTCTTTGCTCATCAGTAAGCGTGAGTACCTTCTTGTTACGTTGGGTCACTTGCAATGGTTCACCACGAGATAGTTATTTAGGGGCATGGCCCATCTTTCTATGGGGTTTTGATAATAACACGTGAAAGTTCTTTGTCATTAAAACATTAACGTCTGTCTTTTGTGCTGAGGGTAGTTTTTTACCTCTATTGTTTGTTTCTTTCTTCACGGGTCCCCTAGCCACTGTAAGAAGGTTTTAAGTTTTTATATAGTCAACTGTGTCTCTCTTTTCCTTTACAGCTTCTGGGTTTCTAGTCTTGCTTAAGAGAGTCACCCCCACCCTCAGATTGTACATGTAGTCTCCCAGATCCCCTTTCAGGATTCATATGGTTTTAATTTTTCTGTTTGAATCGTTGTGTACGCTATGAAGAGGCATCCAGCTTTTTGTTTGTTTGTTTGTTTAAGATTTTATTTATTTATTCATGAGAGACAGAGACATGGGCAGATGGAGAGGCAGGCTTCATTCAGGGAGCCTGATGTGGGACTCGATCCCAGGACCCCGGGATCACGACCTGAGCCGAAGGCAGACACTCAATGTTGCACTGAGCCACCCAGGTGTTGGCATCCAGGTTTCTGTCTCTCTGCGGGGTACTAATTATAGCAGTGGCATAGTAAATGCTCTCTCTTTTACCCCCAGAATTGAACTACCACCTTCATCGTATATTCTCGTATTTCATAGTTTGTAAGACTTTTAAAAGATAGAAAATGAGGATCCATACCAGCCTATGGCTTGATTTAGTCACGATCTTGTGTCCCGCCTGGTGGGTGGGGTGAATGTCGAGGCCCAGAGAGCTTCCTCTCACTGCACCCCTGCTTCCCTTTCAGGTGCTACTAGCTGAGGAGGGGGTGGCCCCTCTGCCAGCCACAGGGCCCCTGCAAGAGGACAAACTCCCGCTCGGAGAAGGACTGTCTCCTCTGCTTCCAGTTCAGTCCATCAAGGAGGAAGAACCCCAGCCTGGGGAGGAGACGCTACACTTGGGGAGGCCCATCAAAGTGGAGAGCCCACCCTTGGAGGAGTGGCCCTCGCCGTGCCTGTCCATCAAAGAGGAATCCTCTCATTCCTGGGAGGACTCGTCCCACTCTCCCACGCCAAGGCCCAAGAGGTCCTACAGCGGGCTCAAGTCCCCAGCCCGGTGTGTCTCAGAAATGCTTGTGATTAAACGGAGGGAGGGGAGGGAGATGAGCCGGTCTCGAAGGAAACAGCACCTCCTGCCTCCTTGCCTGGATGAGCCGGAGCCCGAGCTGCTCTTCTCCCAGGGCCCCGGGGCTTCCCAGCGAGCCACCCAGCTTACTTTGCCCACAGAGTCCTCTGAGCCTGCCTCCCGGCTTGGCTACTCCCAAGAGGAGGGAGGACCTTTTAAGACGCCCATTAAGGAGACGCTGCCCATCTCTTCCACTCCAAGCAAATCTGTCCTCCCCGTGACCCCCGAATCCTGGAGGCTCACACCCCCAGCCAAAGTAGGGGGGCTAGAGTTCAGCCCAGTACACCACCCCCAGGCTGCCTTCGGCCCCCTGCCTGATGCCCTGGGGCTGACGGATTTTAGCACCACCCCCCTGAAAAGCATTCCCCTCTTTGACTCGCCCCGAGAGCTCCTCAGTTCTGAGCCCTTTGACCTCACCTCTGACCCCTTCAGCACCTCTTCCCCCTCAGATATGGAAGTCCCCAAGCCAGACTCCCCCGGGCCAGAGGCTGCCAGCCTCTCAGCCAACCGCTCTCTGACAGAAGGCCTGGTTCTGGACACGATGAATGACAGCCTCAGCAAGATCCTGCTGGACATCAGCTTTCCTGGCCTGGAGGAGGACCCTCTGGGCCCTGACAGCATCAACTGGGCTCAGTTCATTCCTGAGCTACGGTAGAGGCCTACCTTACCCTTGCTGCCTGAGCTGTCCATGCTTCCAGGATCTCGGGTGGCTGGGCCATCCGAGGACAGCAGGCAGGGACCGTCTGCCCCTCTAGCTCCACTTTGCCTGCTTGTGCCAAGACGGACATCATGCCGTGGCCACTACTGAGCCCTCTGCAAGCAGCAAGGTCCTGGTGACCGGTCACTGTGCCACCACTGCTCCCCAAAAGAATCTGGTTCCTCACTCTCCCTGCTAAGGGGTGGGAATGGCAAAAGCAAGGGTGAAAAGAGATTAGGAACTCCTCGGACTGTTTACACCTGTGCCCAGGAGTCCCCCACTTTTCCTGATCCTTGCAGGGCAGCCCTTGTAAATAGTGTATATTCTCCAAATTATCCTCTAATTATAAATGTAAGCTTATTTCCTTAGATCATTATCTAGAGACTGCCAGAAAGGTGGGTAGGATGACAAGGGGTTTGTTTGCTCCTGTTCCTTGCTTTCAATTCCTAGAGAAGGGAGGACGCGCAGTGTACGGTTTCTTCCAGGCCCAGGGCACCTGCCTTCAGGGCTCTTTACTGTAGACAAGCAGATCTGCTTCCTAGGGTCCTGCTTATTGTCCCCCCTCCCTTCCCACCTTCCCATGTTTCCAAGTCAGCTTTCCTGCAAGAAGAAATCCTGACAAAAAAAGGTCTTTTGTCAAGGGTCAAGAGTTGAATTGGGGGTGGGGGAATGGATGCATCTGAAGCAAAGAATGCAGGTGCCCAGATGTGCTCCCGAGATGTTTCTCTGATAACGTCCCTAATCATGCCAGAGAGACGAGCCATTTGCCAAGAACTTGGCCCAAGGCTTGAGAAGACTGAAAGGGCCCTGCCCTGCCTAACTTCCTTAGCTCACACCTCAGCTTTGCTAAGAGCCACCTTAGGCCCCAGCTGACCGCATGCATGTGAGCCAGCTCGAGAACACTACCATAACTGTCAATAAAATCCAGGGTGGAAGTGCTCTCTGTGGTGTGTCGGTGTCTGGTCCCTGAGGCATAAGGAGGGGTTGGGGAAGAACATGGGAGATGGAGATGGTGGTGACAGGGAAGAGGTAAGGCCTGAAGCCAACACAAAGCACATGAAGGAGAGTGCTCAGGGCATTGGCCTGGGCTGCCTCCCACATCCTATGCAGGCACACATCAGAAACTGGCAGGTTTCCCAGGCTGGTCCTGCATGGCCAGCCTCTTCAGAACCACTGAACCTAATGGTTAACTTGGCCCTTTGGTGCTCCCTATAAGGGAAAGACCTACAGAGGGGCAGGGCCCTCCCCTTCTGGAGAGTAGGGAAAGATGGGCCCAGTTATAGGCACCTCATGATCATGTCCACCCCAACCCAGGGCCTGGAAGCCAGGCTGCCCTGCTTTTCTCTTCCTGCCCTCCTAGGCAAGTCCCTCCCCAAAAACCCCTCTGGCTACCATCTACACATAAGTCCTATCCCCTGCCTGTCTCACCTGAAAGGCAGCCAGGCCCCAAAGGATTGATGAGTCCTCCCAGGGAGAGGTAAGGGCCTCCTCCTGCGTCATCATCCAGGAAGCATCACCATAGCAACCCCAACAGCAAACAATGCTGCCAGGGAAAGTCTTCCCTACAAAGCGGCCCTTCCTGACAATCAGGCCCACAGGTGGAATGGCCAGTAGCCCACCAAGACAACCAAGAGGGCGGAGTGTTCCGCCCCATGTCCAAAAGCCTTTCTTGCAGGTAGGAGGTAGGGCCCTATCTCCACAGCCTATCTGTTTGCACACTGCTGGGCTAAGGACTGCCCCCCTGGGGTCAGGGGGTCAATAGATGTCTCTCAATCCTGTGGTACTATGAACACAGAGCTCAGAACAGAGAAAAGGAGATGCCTGGTTATTACATCTCCCAGCCCCACCTCCTGGGGTGGTCACGTGGAAATGACAGCAGAGTGGGCCCAAGAGGCAGGTGAGTTTTTGTAGTCAATAAGGTCCTAAGGTCGAAAGAAGAGCATAGTCTCATGAGTAGTACGGACAGATGGCTCAAGTCCCAGCTCTGCCACTCACAGACCTGGCAACCTCGGGTGAGTTCCTGACTCTCACCATGTCTTGCTTTTTGCATCGTTGAGATGAGACCGTAACAATGCTTGCTCCTAGGATTGTGAGGGTTAATTGAGTTGTGGACGTGTTTAGCTCAGTTCCAATACCTACCTGCTACCGTTTATTTCACGGGAGGTGGGACAAAGGAAAGGGAAGAAACCAGCCTTCTAGATGTTTCCCCATACTTGGCTTGTGTTTGGACGAGAAGTGAGGGAAACGCGCCCATGAGAGAGAAACGAGTAAGAGGACGAGTCCAGGAGAGAAGAACCTCTGGGCTGCATTCTCTGGAGAATGATTTTCCTTCTACGCCTCGCTCGGTGAGGGGCCTTTCCCCTCAGTTTCCCTGGGCCCCCTGGGCCCTGTTCAGAGCACCCACCCTGGCAGGAGCCTGAGGCAGCCAGAGTGCAGTGAAAAGTGAGTTGCTGGGAGACAGGTGAGGAGGAGAGCAGGGTGGGAAATCCGAAGCACAAGGTGAGAAACCCAGGGGCACCCTCCAGAGCAGACCGGACTTCTGACGGCAGGCCCAGCCAGGAGACACAGTGTCCAGGCCCGGCCACCAGGGTCCTGACGAGAATCCGGGGTGTGAGCAGGCCAGCAGCCTGGCCTCTCCGCAGCTGTTCCCGGGACAAAGGCAGAGCACTCCCCCAGGCTCCCTCTGGTCTCTCCCCAGATGGCCCAGGCCAGCGAGCCCCTCGTGACCTCCCAGACGTGGGCCCGACGCGAGTTCCTCCTTCCTGGTGCGGCCTGGGAGTGGCCTGGCTTCACCCCGCAGGCCTACCGCCAGCTGGCTCTGAGGCTGCCGCCCTGCACAGAGCTCAAGTCCGAGGTGCGCCGCCGGCTGCTCCGCCCGGAGAAGGACGCGGCGCAGCACACCTGGGGCTTCCACACGTGGCTGGACGTGGGCCGCCTGCCCGCCGCCTTCCCCACCAGGCCCGACAGGCCCTACGATAGCAACGTGTGGCGCTGGCTGACCGACCCCAAGGCCCACGGCAGGCCCCCTGCGGAGCCCCCCATCCCTCCTCCCTCCTGGATGGGTCAGAACAGCTTTCTCACCTTCATCTGCTGCACTCCCATCTTCGTGGACGAGAACAGGAAGAACCAGGTGACTGTCAGGGCGGTGCAGGAATTGAGAGAGCTGGAGAAACTCAAGCTGAGGAGTGAAGCCAGGGCCCCTCCGCTCGATGCCAAGGGCAACATCCTGCCCCCAAAGAACTTCAAGAAGTAAGAGAAGCTCCTTCCTCGGTGGGGGGTGGAGCTCACCCAACCTGCTCCTGTTCAGGTGACCCCTCCCTCTCTCTGATCCCCATTTCTCATGTCTGCCTTGGGACTCTAACCCTCCTGCCTTTGGTCACAGTCATGGGTTCTGAATGTAGCTGGAGGGAAGGTGTAGGTGCAAAGGAAGGACAGCTGGAGGAGGTCACTTAACCATTTAACTAGACTGACCAAGAGGCAACTAGATGCTTAACACTGGCTAGGCCCTGGGGGTACAGAAAAAGGTCCCTTCGCCTGGGGAGTTTAGGAAAAGCAGATATCTCCTAGAGGCTTGAGAAGGCAGCTAAGACTGCCAGATGCTACGTGTCCAAAGTGTGACACAGACAGTGGGTGTCGTAAGACTATCAATTACTGGTGGAAAGAGCTAGAGTTCCGGATTCAATTCCATCACTGATGAAATGGAGCCGGTCAAGACCACGTCTTTCTCAATGGGTGAAGATAAAATGGGTTAATGAATATATGAAAGCACTGAACAAAAAGCAGATGTTATTACAGAACTCCAGAGGGGGAAGGGGCACCTGTGGGCTGGGGCATCCCCCCAGGAAGGCTTTGGGCGAAAACCAGGTAAGGCTGGAACAGTCGGGGGCCCTCAGAAAGGTAGAAAGGAGGAGATGGAGGGGTGACTGGTCTGAGTAGAGACAGGAATGAGGTTAATGGAGAACCCTGGAGTTCTCCCTCCCTGCCCACCGTAGGAACACAGCACAGTCCTCTCTGTACTGAGTGCAGTTACCACAAGGGGATGAGGCAGGAAAGGGGGTGGGGAATAAGGATAGACTATCTCAAATTCCAACCCCAAGGGCATTAACAGAAGCATTGAGGAGCTAGAGGGGAAGTAGTGATTTTTCCTCTTTTCCAAAAATGCCAGGAGTCGATGATTTTGAGAGAAGGTTATTCTCTCTGCAGTCCTTGCAGTATGGATTGTTGATTGCTAGTACGTGCTAACACTAGGCATACAAAGGTGATAAGACTTAGATCACTCCTCAAAAAAATAAAAAATAAAAAAAAAATCAGCGAAATGATAGTACCAGATATTCTAGTCATTTGAGCTATATTGTTTGGAAACTCCCACTACCCCAGATAGAAACTATTACTAGCAACCACATTTTACAAAAAAAGTCCTCTGAATCGGGGAAGTCACTTATCTTGCTCAAGTCATGATGGCCAGTAAGTGGCAAAGCTGGGATTTGAACCCAGATGGCTCAGTTCTGGAACTGTATTCTCAACCACTAGGCTCCACTTTCCCTCTTGCCTGACCGGGGCATCAGACAAGTTCACAGCTCCTTCTGATGTGATATAGGGTTCTATAAAGACAGCATAAAAGAAACACAATTATGCACGAAAAGAGCTTAGTGCAATGCCCAGCGTACAGTGAATGTGTGTGTGAGGGTGGAAGCCATATGGGTTCAGGAGCTGCACAGATCTAGGTAGCAATCTACCCAGCTCAATCACAAACGTGACTTTCTCTGAGCCTCACTTTCGCCAAGTATGGATTAGAGATGTACCTGGTACTTTCAGGGTTGTTGGAAGATGAAAGGGCGTGGTGTCTGGCATAGACAGGGGGCTCAGTAAAGTGTGTCATTACTATGGCGTCCCCATGAGAGAAGGATCCTTGTTTCCCTCTGTTTGTTGCTGGAGGCCTAGTCCCGGGAGCCAGGAATGAAGGAGTCCCAGACAAGGTTTTGCTGTTCACAGAAGGCATGGTACTTGAGCTGAACCTTGAAGGATGTGTAGGAGTTCAACAGGAGGGAATAAGACAGAATGGTGGGAGGGAGAGCCCATCCAGTCCTGCTGTTTCTTTTCAGCAGTTCTGTAAGGGGTTAAAATATAGCTAAATGTTCACTACCTCAGGGGTGCCTGGGTGGCTCAGTCGGTTGAGTGGCCAATTCTCAGTGTCAGATCAGATCATCATCTCAGGGTCCTCGGGCCGAGCCCTGTGTACAGGTCCATGTCGGGCTCCACACTCAGCAGGGCATCTGCTTATGGGTTCTCTCTCTCCCATTCCTTCTACCCCTCCCCCTGCTCATGTTTGCCCTGTCTCTCAAAAATAAAAATAAATAAATAAATAAATAAATAAATATCTTTTTTAAAAAGTCTCTAGATCAGTGAGAGAGCACATTTTGAGCATGAGAGATCCAGAGAAGTCTTCAGACAGATCTAAGCTTCAAAATGCCCATGGCGTTGCTGAGAAATGGGACATTTATATACAAACCCAGCCGTTCTCAACTCTGATAGTACATTGCAGTCACCTGGGCCTCTTTAAAAAATGTTGAGGTTTAAGTCCCACCCCTGAGATTCTAACTCAGTTGGCCTGAGGGTGGGGCAGGGGAGGGCAGAGATTTTTAAAAAGCTCCCTAGGAGTGATTCTAATATGCAGCCAGGCCTGAGAATGTCTGATGTAAACCAAAGACAGCAAACAGGGATATCTGCCGGACGAGCCCCAATTCGTGTTGAAGCACAAACTTGCCACTATTCAACCGTTGCTGTTTTTTTTTTCGTTTTTTAAAGTCAGTCTCTCTCTGTTGAACCTAACACTACAGGCCTGTTGAAGAGGGAGCCATCAGACCAGGTGTCATACAGCAGCGGGTCAGAGCAGGAAGGGTTCTCGGATGTCATCATGCTCACCAGTGATGAGAAGGGGCACTTGAGCCCTGAGCTGCATTCTCTACTTTCTCCAGCACTGCATTAGTAGAGGACGTGGGACAAAAGGAAAGAATCTGGATAATGATATACAGACAATATGTAAAAAGAATGGGAGATTGACCATCTAAATAACATAATTTCATCATCTGAACACCAAACACACAATACAGGGTGCACGCTATCTGGCATAGACCAATATCCAACACGGAAGAGAGGCAGAAGGGATTCCCTTCAACACGATCATTCGCTAGCTTTAATAGAAAAATGCTGGTAAAACATGGCTTTACACCCCAGTCTCAAGATGTGCCTGACAAATATGCTTTCAGGGTAGGTATAAATGCCTTATTTTCTTATGGCACTGGCATTAATGACAACAGTTGGTGGGTCTTTACCACTCTCAAAATATGATAGGATCCCCCTACTTGGAGCACCTGGGTATCTCGGTTGGGTAAGCATCCAACTCTTGTTTTCACTCAAGTCCTGATCTCAGGGTTGTGAGATCAAGCCCCATGTTGGGCTCCTCAATGAGCACAGAGTCTGCTTGGGATTCTCTCCCCCCACCTTTGCCCCTCCCCTCCCTGTGCACGCTCTCTCTCTCTCTCTCTCTCTAAAAATTAAAAAACAACCAGGATCCCAGTGATGCTCCTTTCTTATTTTGAATGATATTAGTTTGGGACCTTGATTGGTTGGCATTTTGTCATTGTCATAATTTGAGATAATTCTGATTTTTTATTTTTTATTTTTTTAAACATTTTATTTATTTATTCATGATAGTCACACAGTGAGAGACAGAGAGGCAGAGACACAGGCAGAGGGAGAAGCAGGCTCCATGCACCGGGAGCCCGACGTGGGATTCGATCCCAGGTCTCCAGGATCGCGCCCTGGGCCAAAGGCAGGCGCCAAACCGCTGCGCCACCCAGGGATCCCTAATTCTGATTTTTTAAAAAGCCTACAGAATTTTTTTAAAAGTAACCTCTAAAAAATATATATATATATAAATAAAAGTAACCTCTATATGCAACACAAACCTCAAACTCACAACCCTGAGATCAAGAGTCAGATGCTCTACCGACTAAGCCAGCCAGGCATACTGAGTCTACAGAATGTTTAAGTATAGTTTGATACTTAATATCAAGTCTTTTCCAAAAATTTGAGAGGAACATGAAGAGTTACAAATTTGGGGGCTTACCCTTGTAGCACCGTGAAAATAAACTGTAATTAAGCTCTGAAAAAAAAGCATATCCTGTTTCCCTCCATACTCCTTCCACCATGCCTGCACCTCTCCTTTGACCTCTCTGTTCTCTGCACACCCCTTCCCCCCAACAGGTACCGGCACATCTCTGCTGGTGGAAGGTTTGAGCCCCAAGGCCTCCAGCTCATGCCCAACCCACTTCCCAATGATTTTGCCAGGGGCTGGCCCTGCCCGAACCCTCTGCCTCATTACCAGGAGAAGGTGCTAAAACTGGCCTTGCTGCCTAGTGCACCCCTGAGCCAGGACCTTGTGAGGAATTACCAAACCCTGATAGAGAACCGGGTTGCCTTGCCCCTCTGTCATCTCTCCAAGGCACCACCTGGCAAAACCTTAACAAGGAAGATGAAGAGAAGACCTGGACAGACCTAAAGAGCCTCCAGCTGGGCAAGGCCAATGCATCTTCAGCAAGAAGCCTTTGGGGATGCTCAAGGACTGGCTTCTGCAGAACAGAGCCTCTCCACTCTCCCTCCAACCTCAAGCCACCTCTGTCTTCCAGGGCTCCTGAAGATGCTACTGACACTCTAAATTTTTATCTGTCTTCCTTGGAGGACTCTCTCATAGCAGGTGGGAAGAATGAGTCGGGGAGAGCAGGCCAAGGGGGGGGCAGTTTCTAGGGACAGAATGAGGAGGGGGAGGAATAAGGTGTGTGTGTGTTGGGATGGGAGACGAGACACTGTAAGAAATGTGGCTAGGAAGTTACTACTACTCCCATAATCCATCTGGAACAGAACTGGGATTGGTCAGGGTACAAGAAGCTTCTTGGACAAAATAACCTCAATTCCACACCTCCCTAGACCATGTGATGTCTGGACAAAGACCAAAAGCAGCTATGCTGGGTTGCAGTTCCCATGTAGGGCTTGGGAGTGGAGGTCAGGCCAAGGCTGGCCCTAGAGGATGGAAGAAGTCAGGTCTGAGGAAGGCAGACCAGGTCTCTGCAGAGGGACAGGAGTAGAGCAAAGTAGAGACTGAAGGCAAAGTAGAGACTGAAGCATTATGTTAGGACCTTGGGCCTGTGCTACAGTTAACCCTGGGTGCCTCAGCTCTGGTCATGGAGAGCCAGAGACAAGGGGCCTAGAGTGGAGGCCAGAGAATCCTGTTGGTCAGAGAGGTGCTGCCCCCAGCTGTGGTGGAGACTGGGGTGGGAGGCCCAGTAGGAGGGGCAGCAGGGAGCTGGCTGGAAGGAGAGAAGTTGCATAGTGGGGGCCCACAACACCTCCTCTTACCCCTGTCATACTCCAGGTTAGTGGGCTTCTCCTGGGCTTCTGGTCATTGCCCTCTTTCCCACTTTTCTCAAGGTACCTGGGAATCAAAACCCCATCAGGGTTCTAGCCCTGCTTTCACCATTAACCAGCTATATGACCTTTGGGAAGGGCATTGGTACCTTCAGTTTCCTCATGGGCACAGTGGGAGCCACTAGGGTACAAATGAGCAGTATAAATAAAATGATATAAGAGAAATATATGCAAAGTGTCTGACACATTGTAGGCCCTCCGTTAATGATGCTATCAACCAGGCATTATTCATAGGATAAAAACAACGGGTGGGAAATTATTCAGCCATAAGGAGGCATGAAGTACTGACACAGGCTACAATGCCGATGAACCTTGAAAATATGATGCTGAGGGGCACCTGGGTGGCTCAGTGGGTTAAGCATCTTACCTTTGGCTCAGGTCATGATCCCAGGGTCCTAGGATTGAGTCCCACATTGGTGTGTGTGGGGGGGTGTTCCTGCTTGCTCAATGAGGGGTCGGTCTGCTTCTCCCTCTTCTTCTGTTCTCCCTCCCCCACATCCTGCTGGTGCTTTCTCTCTCTCTCTCTCTCTCTCTCTCTCTCTCTCTCTCTCTCTCTCTCTCAAATAAATAAAATATTTTAAGAAATGACACCCAGGGGCACTTGGGTGGCTCAGTGGTTGAGCATCTGCCTTTAGCTCAGGTCATGATTCCGGGGTCCTGGGATTGGGCTTTCTGAGGGAGCCTGCTTCTCCCTCTGCCTGTGTCTCTGCCTCTCTCTCTGGGTCTCTCATGAGCAAATAAATAAAATCTTTCTTAAAAATGCCAGAAACAAAAGGCCACATGTGGTATGATTCTATTTCTATGAATTATCTGGAATAGGTGAGTCCATAGAGAGGTGAATTGGTGCTGGGGGAGGAGGAAGTGGGAACTGACTGCTCAGTGGGTACAGGGTTTTCTTTTAGTGTGGTAAAAATAGTTTGGCACTAGATAGAAGTGCTGGTTGCCCAACATGAATGAACAAAATGCCACTGAATTGCTTACTTTAAAAATGGCTATTGTTTTTTTTTATGTGAACTTCATCTTCATTAAAAATAATTGCAACAAATAGGGTGTGATAGAGACTTTCCAAATTTCCTTCTGTTTCTAGATCTATAGTTCTATTTGGCAGTCCTTCTCCTGAACACTTCTCCCCAGGATGTGTGTGTGGGATGGGTGGGGATGACCAGAGTCGAGGGCCGAAGGAGGATTCCCAAGTACTCCAGGGAATGACAGAGCTCTGGGAATGTGCCCATTCTTCCCACACTGGGTTGCGAATGGTGGTGAAGAGCAGGAGGCCCCTGTACCTAGGATCCTAACAGGTCAAAACCAGGTGGGCCATGAAGACACAAGTGGAACCCTATCAGGGTTTAGATGGCAAACCAAGGCCCATGGGGAAGTGACTTGCTCTGAGCTACAACTTTTGAGGGAAGCAGAGTGAACATCCCTTTCCCAACATACCCAGAACACCTTGTGCTCTGCTGAGTGCCACCAGCCTCATGGACATTAATTAATCGCAGCCTCAGAGCCACTTCTCGATCAACACCTCCCCCTCTGCCACCTAAGCCAGGTATTGCTGTCATGAGCTGGGTTGCTGAAGCCAGTTCAGGTTCCCGAGTTATTGGGGCCAGAAAGAATGGTTGGAGCTCAGTGAGTGCCGGGAGCTGTGGGTCTGGGAACCCCTGGGGAAGTGCAGGGCCAACCACACTGTCAACCATGCTCTTTTTTTTTTTTTAAGATTTTATTTATTCATGAGAGACACACAGAGAGAGGCAGAGACATAGGCAGAGGGAGAAGCAGGCTCCCCTCGGGGAGCCCGATACGGGACTCAGTCTCAGGACCCTGGGATCACACCCTGAGCTGAAGGCAGACATTCAACCACCAAGCCATCCAGTTGGCCCTCAACCATGCTCTTTGGTCTTCAGTCTTCATGTAGCTATGTGCCACACTTGTCCTGTCTCATTGCCAAACCTCAAAAAGCCCCATTGCTGCTCCATGAGGTAACAAATCAGACATCCTCCACCTCCAGACTCACTCCCCACCTTCCTTAGGACCCTCTGGCCTTTTTGTTTCTACTCAAGGCTGACTCACTCCAAGCCCTTCTTCGTCTTCTTCATCTTCTTCTCTTCCCCCTCCAAGCCCTCTCCTACGTGTACTGTCCACTGAACCACATACATTTACCTATTTACAATGTAAATAATTGCTTCTTTCTATTTATCATTATGATTAGTGGTTTCTGTGGCTAGTCACATAGTTGCCCATCTCATGGTCACCTCAAGCCAGCACACTCTCTGCAGGTCCCAGGACAGAACATCACAGAGGCCTCCACCATGCTGCCGAATCATGCCATTGTTCCTATGCCAAGGTAAAGGTTCTATTGTTCCAATCCCAGCACCACTCTCCCGAATGTTCACTGAGCACTCACACCAAGTAACACACACGGTTCCCCGCAAACAGTTGGTGACTTCTTTAGCATGATTACCACTAGGAAATGAAGGTCATGGCCAGGGGTGCCAAGGGCAGGCCCAAAGCTTCAGCAAGGAGAGAGGGGAAAACGGAAGCAGGAAAGAAAGCAGATAAACCCAAGAGAGAGGAGGGGAAGGGCTGAAGCCAGAAGAAAGGTAAAACAGGAGTCTCTGAAGCAACGAAGTCTGGAATGTGCAGAGGCACCAGGGAGCTTTGTCATTCCTCTGGGGGAGTTTGCAGGATCCAGATTTGGGCACAGAGCCCAGCAGGTGAGAGGAATTGGCAAGTATGTCCTGAGGGTGCAAGAGAAAGGGGAATGATTAGAACGGGGTCTGGAGTGGGTGCCTAAGGCTTAGTTGGATTCTGCTACTGGGGAAATTCGAGTGGGGCACTCAACGGGCTGTTCTAGTGTCTCACCACCTGAGTAGATGGCATAATAATGGCATGTTTCCTCCTGTACTGAGAGTCCTGATGACCCATTCATTCAACAACTTTGTGTAAGAAGAGAGAGGATAAAAGACCCACCCTTAGAAAGACTAGGATCTGATGGGAAGGTGGACAAGTAATTTAAAATAGTGTGAGAAATAGTATCATAGATAACCAATCCAGTTGTATTCTGGGAGCAGAGGGGGGGGCATCTGAGAGGGTGCATGTGCGTGTGCAAGCACATGCATGTCTATGTGCGTGTACAGTTCCCAAATAACAGCAAACATTTACTCAGCATTCATTAGGCAATGTTTTGAGAACTTTCCAAGAATCACCCCATTTAATCCTCACAATACTGAGATAGGTCCCATTACAATCTCCATTTTAAAGATGAGTAAACTGAGCCATAGAGAGTGCTTAACAGGGGATCCCTGGGTGGCGCAGCGGTTTGGCGCCCGCCTTTGGCCCAGGGCGCGATCCTGGAGACCCGGGATCGAGTCCCACTTCGGGCTCCCGGTGCATGGAGCCTGCTTCTCCCTCTGCCTGTGTCTCTGCCTCTCTCTCTCTATCTGTGTGACTGTCATAAATAAATAAAAATTAAAAAAAAAAAGAGAGTGCTTAACAAGTTTGCTATTCTGCCTCTCGTTTAAACTTCAGAAAAATTCCACAAATTATGTGTCATTTCAGTTTTACAGGAGAGAAAGTGATACTAAGAGCTTGAGCACTTCACTCAGAGTTACCCAATAGTTAAAGACTGGGTCAGAATACTTGACCAAGCTTGTCTGCGTTCAGTGTACCATGTTCGGTCTGTTTTCATCAATAGAGATGAACACTTGAATTTTCTGTTCTTTGGTTTTGCCATCCACAAAATAGGAGAAAATCACCCAAGTGTCAAATATAAAAGGTGGTCATAGCCTGGTAGTTTTTGGGGTGGAGGAAGAGTGATCAATTTCAAAACTGGCACAGACTTCCTGTGACCCTTGCCGGACAAGAGAATTCTGGAAAACAGCTTTATTCCTATCCTCAGCAGATCTGACAGGGCCAGAGGAGAAAGCCTGAAATAGAACTGGCTGCCCTTAACCTTCCATGGGCTCAAGGGAGCTGTTTGTCTAGCTCTGAATAGCCCATTCTATGAAGAATATTCTGGGAATTTCCTTATGTGGCAGAGTAATGTCTGGGTGATTTCACTGTGCCAAATGAGCTCTCCTCTCCACCCCTACCATCAGAGATAAGGATCGGCACTACTCAGCCTTGAAGATAAAAGGTTTTAAAAAAGAGGTATAAAGATATTTAAAGACAGGAAAGTTTATCCTAAGGAAGGTGGGAACCAGTTCATCTCCATCTCCACTGAGGCTTGGACAAGAAGGCAGGGATTTTGAATAATGGCTATAGGGATTTGGATTACAAAGAACTTCCTGAAACAGCAGAGCCTTGCTGGCATAGATTATATCAGGTTCAAGGAAACGAGCCTTGAATGTATTCAAACCAGCACCATCCAGTAGAAATATAATAGACACATATATGTGATATGTGACTTTAAATTTGTTAGTTGCCATATTAAAAAAGTAGGAAGTTGGGGCACCTGGGTGGCTCGTTGGTTGAGCTTCTGACTCTTGGTTTTGGCTCAGGTTGTGATCTTGGGGTTATGAGACTGAGCCCCGCATGGGGCTCTAAGCTCGGCGCAGAGTCCACTCAAGACTCCTCTCCCCTGCGTCTCCCCATCCCCCACCCCACACTCACACTCTCTCCCTCTCTCTCAAATAAATAAAATCTTGAAAAATTTTAATAAATTAAAAAGTAAAAAGAAACCAGAGAAGTTCATTTTTATAACATATTTTATTGAATACAATAGATCCAAAATATTATCAACATAAAATAATGTAAACCATGGAAAAATAATTGAGGTATTTCACATTGTTTCTTGTATTGTGTTCAATACATCTGGTGTATATTTTACATGTACAGCAAAGCTCTCTTTAGACTAGCCACACCTCAAGTGCTCGATAACCACATACATGTAGCTGGTGACTGCTGTCTTGGCCAGCACAAATCTAGACTTACTAATGATTGTCTGACACCAGATGGCAAATATAAGATGTGGCCTGGTTTTCTCTAAAGGCAGAAAGTTCTCTGGAAGACCCAGACCCTTGAGGGTGAAAACCAAGAAAACCTTATGCTTGGAGCCCCTCTCAGCCTCCCTTGTTGCTAGAAATACAAAGACCCATCACCCTCTGACTGTTCTAGAACTCACAGGCAGTGTTCTGTGTATTCTTTCAGTGGAGGGAATCCCAACTCACATCTGTGGGACTCAGGGTTTGGCGGCTTGTTAACCCAGGTGGGAAAAGCCAGGAGAAAGGGTTCCATCTTGGGTAGATGAGATAGCTTGATTCTCTCCATGGCAGGAGACAATGTTCTTTATCCCAGCCAGTGTTCCTGGTGTGAGTGACTGGTCACCGGAGAAGCCAGGCTGGACAGCGGGGAGGGAGAGGGGCAGATCTACCCTGTCCTGGGTGTGTGTAGGGACAAGCACTGTCCCAGCCCAGCCTATCTTACCTGCAAGCATCCCGAGTTCTCTGTCTGTGACCCTCTTCCTCCAGCAATGAGCACAGCCTCTCCCTCACCTTCTCATCTCTGCCCGACATCGTCTACCCACACCCCAACGCCCATGGCTCTGTCTCCTCTCATCCTGCTCTATTTGTCTTCAGCACTTACCACTACTTGACAAGATAAATGTGGCTGTTTATTGTCTGCCTTCTTCATTAGAATGTGAACTCCATGAGAGCGGGGTCTGCATCTGGTCCACCACTGTGTGCCCAGAGCCTACCTCAGTGTCTGACATATAGTAGGTACCCAATAGTTTTTGACTGAACAAAAGGAAAACTTGCTATAATTCAGAGAACTGATGCAGCGAGAGAGCCAAATCCCAAGCTTCCATTTTTTTTCTCACAAAATTCCTGATTTGGGGTCCATTTGCTTCAACATCTATGTGAACCACAAGGTGAAATAAATGAGAGAAATTAGAGACATTTCCCAAGTGGCTTGGAAAGGAAAATCTCCTAGGTTGCTTCTATTCCTAACAATAGAAGACTGGTTTAATCTTCCTCAGTAGTGCTCCTGAAAGTTTTCTCCACCTGTGTCTCATCATTAGCGTTCAATGTAGTTATTCCTTGTTAATGAATTGGTTTGTTGAGTTCTATAAATTTCAGGTTAAAAAATGACTTGGTGGAGGGGGTACCTGGCTGGCGTATCAGAACAGCATGCGACTCGCAGTCTTGAGTTCAGCCCCACACTGGGTGCAGAGGTTACTAAAAATAAATAAACCTAAAAAAAAAAAAAAGACCAGGGGAGGGAAGTGAGGTAAGTTATTGGCAAAGACACAGACCACCCAGCTGAGGATACAAACTGGCCTCAGAACATTACCTGGCACTTCTCCATCTTTTTTTTTTTTTTTTTTTTTTTAGAGTTAGACAAGCCTATTTTTTTTAAGTCAAAGTATAGTTAACATATCATATTAGTTCCAAGTGTACTACATGGTGATTCGATGATTATATACATTATGCAGTGCTCATCATGGTAAGTGTAGTCACCATCAATCACTCTATGAAGCTATTACAATATTAATGATTATATTCCCTAGGCTGTAATTTTCACCCTCATGACTTTTTATTTTAAAGTTAGAAGTTGGGATCCCTGGATGGCTCAGCAGTTTAGTGCCTGCCTTCAGCCCAGGGCGTGATCCTGGAGTCCCGGGATCGAGTCCCATATCGGGCTCCCTGCATGGAGCCTGCTTCTCCCTCTGCCTGTGTCTCTGCCTCTCTCTGTGTCTCTCATGAATAAATAAAATCTTAAAAAAAAATAAAGCTAGAAGTTTGTACCTCTTAATTCCCTCTGTTTTGCCTATATCCCCACCCTCCCCTCTGGCAACCATCAATTTATTCTGTCCTTAAGGGTCTGTTTCTACTTTTTGTTTATTCATTTGTTTTGTTTTTTTAGATTCTGCATATAAATGAAATCACGTGACATTTGCCTTTCTCTCTCTGACTTATTTCACTGAGCATAATACCTAGGTCCATCCTTGTTGCTGAAAATGGCAAGATTTCATTCTTGTTTTTTTTTTTTTAAGTTTTATTTATTTATGATAGTCACACAGAGAGAGAGAGAGGCAGAGACACAGGCAGAGGGAGAAGCAGGCTCCATGCACCGGGAGCCCGACGTGGGATTCGATCCCGGGTCTCCAGGATCACGCCCCGGGCCAAAGGCAGGCGCTACACCGCTGCGCCACCCAGGGATCCCTCATTCTTGTTTTTGGCTGAGTAGTATTCCACTGTGTGTGTGTTTGTGTACGTTACATCTTCTTTATTCATTTATGGATGGACACTTGGGTTGCTTCCATATCTTGGCTATTGTAAATTATGCTGCAATATACATAAGGGTGTATATATCTTTTGGGATTAGAGTTTTCATTTTCTGTGGGTAATTACCCAGAAGCAAGATTTTATACCACATCTTCTTTATCCATATATATATTGATGCACATTTAGGTTACTTCTGTATCTTGACTATTATAAATAATACTGCAATAAACATAGAGGTGCATATATATTTTTGAAGTAGTGTTTTCATTTTCATTTTTTAAAAGATTTATTCGTGGAGGCACAGAGAGACAGAGACACAGGCAGAGGGAGAAAGGAGCCTGATGTGGGGCTCCATCCTGGGCCCTGGGATCATGACCCAAACTAAAGGCAGATCCTCAAAACACTGAGCAACCCAGGCACCCCAGTGTTTCCGTTTTCTTTGGATAAATACCTAAGAGTAGAATTCCTGGATTATATGATGACTCTATTTTTAGTTTTTTGAGGAACCTCCATACTGTTTTTCAGTGGCTGCACCAGTTTGCATTCCTACCAACAATGCAAGAGGGATCCCCTTTCTCTACATCCTTGCCAGCACCTGTTGTTTTTCGTCTTTTTGATAATGACTATTCTGACTGGTGTGAGATGATATCTCATTGTGATTTTGATTTCCCTGATGATGAATGATATTGAGCATCTTTTCATGTGTCTATTGATCATGAATGCCTTGTATGTCTTCTTTGGAAAAAATATCTATTCAGGTTCTCTACCCAAATTGGATTATTTGGGAGGGATTTTTGGTATTGAGTTGTATGAGTTCTTTATATATTCTGAATATTAGTCCCTTACCAGATACATCACTTGAAAATAATCTTCTCCCACTCAATAAGCTGCCTTTTTGTTTTACTGCTGGTTTCCTTCACTGTGCAGAAGCGTTTCATTTTGGTGTAGTCACAATTGTTTATTTTTGCTTTTGTTGCCACTGCCTTTAGAGTCAGATCCACAAAAGTGTTGCTAAGGCTGATGTCCATGAGTTTACTGCCTGTTTTCTTTTAGTATTTTTATGCTTTCAGGTCTTACATTAATGTGTTTAATCCATTTTATTTTTGTGTATGGTGAAAGAAATGGTCCGGTTTCATTCTTTTGAAAGTATGGTCCAGTTTCATTCTTTTGTATGTTCCTGTCCAGTTTTCCCAACACCATTTTTTGAAGAGATATTTTCCCCATTATATATTCTTGTTTCTTTTTTCATAGATTGACTGTATAAGCATGGGTTTCTTTCTGGGCTCTCTCTATTCTGTTCCATTGATTTATGTGTCTGTTTTTGTGCCAGTGCCATGCTGTTTTGGGTTACAATAGCTTGTAATATAACTTGAAATCTGGAAGATGATTCCTCCAGCTGTTTTTCTTTTTCAAGTTTGCTTTGGCTATTCCAGGTCTTCTGTGGTTCCATACAAATTTTAGATGTTCTAGTTCTGTGAAAAATACTAATATTTTGATATGGATTGCATTAGGTGAGTACATTGCATTGGGTCCATCATCTTATCAAAGGAAGTTGGTTAGCTCTGAGAAAGAAGAACTCAGAGTTTTGTATTACCAGAACATTCCCATTCTCCCTGCAATTTGGGGGAAAAACAAATTTACAAAGGAAGAAAATAAAGATCACAAAAAGGCAAAAGAGAGTTTCCTTACCCCTGAGTCCCACTCCAAGATGGTAAGATAGACAGTGAATAGAAAGCATTGGTTTGGGTCACAGAACACAAGGACCAACGACTTTTTTTTTGCACAGCTACATTTCAGAGAATGGCATTTCCTGAGTACCAGTGCTTCCCAGTGCCAAGCAACAAAGGCCTTGTCAGAGCAACTGAAAATGAGGTGATGCTGGCCCCAACCTCACCCCACCCAAACTGCAAATTCTGAAGTCTCTATTCTACACCACAGGTATGTTTATTCTTCCCTGGGGTTCAGTCTGCAGACTGAACCTCACCTAAGAGTTTGGACACATCCCTTCCATGTTGTCAGCCTGGCCCGAGGCAACTTTGCTAAGTGCTCTGGAATCATCTCATTCTTGTTCATTGATAGTATTACTTTCAAAAAAATGAATTAATCAAGGCCTCTTGAAGATGTTGAAGAATTTTCAAACCTAAGGAGTGAATTGCCAAAAATAAAGTTGGAAGAGATACCTTTCAATACTGGGCCCATCCAGCATTGTAGTATGTAGGCCACTCGCTGATCTATCAGTGTATACAGTTGGTCCTAGTGAAGCAAACAGGAACCAATACAACATGTCAGTGGATCCTCCTTGACCTCTATCCCAGGCAAATGTGTGGTAATAATGGATGTCAAGGCATGGGAGGGAGCTGGAATAATTCCACTGAAACTGAGTGTAAATGAAACCAGGAAGTGAGTAGGTCAGAACCTGATCAATAAAATCACACTACAGTTTGGTTTTCATTCTGTGCTTATCATCTTCATCAGTCTTCTTTGGCTTAGTGGACACTGAACAGGACTTTGGAGATAGAATACAAGGGTCCAATTCCAGGCTCTGCCATACAGTAACTGAATGTTAGGTGAGATTTCGAAGTATATTAGCTTACTGGGACTTGCCATAACAATACCACTAACTGGATGGCTTACACAACAGAAATGTATTGCCTTACAGTTCTGGAGGCTGGAAGTCCTCCAAGATCAAGGTACCAGAGAAGTTGGTTCTTTCTGAGGGTGCTGAGAAAGGATCTGGCCCAGGCCCTCCTTCTCCTAGCTTCTAGTGGATACTGACAACCTTTGGTGTTCCTTGGCTTAGTGATGCATCATCCAGCACCCCTGTTTATGTAGTGCTCTCTTCCTGTGTGCATCTCCATGAACAAATTTTCACTTTTAGTAAAGACACAGTCATCTTGGATTAGGGCCACTCCTAATGACCTCATGTTAACTTGATTATCTCTTTAAAGACCCTACCTCCAAATAAGGAAGGTTACATTCTGAGGTGCTGGGAGTTGGGACTTTAACATACAAACTTGCAGGGGGGACACAGTTTAACCCATTGCACAGGGCCACTTCTCTCATCTGTAAACAGGGATCACAATGCAATTCTTCCTCAAAAAATTGTCATGGCTGTGAAAATACCTCAAACAGGCCACAAACAGACATCTTGTCTGTCTGAATATGTGCATGTGCCTTGGTGATGTGGGAATCAGACTGTGTCCCTAGGGAGCAGGCCTTAACTGGGGCCATCCTGTAAGTCTCCTGTGTGAGCAGGTACTTGACTTGATGCATTTTGATGATGGTGAAGATAAAGGGCTGGAAAGAAAAATCTGATGACAGTTGAGCCAGGGCTGTAAAAGGTTTGATTCCAAGTGCTGATGAGAAAGTGGAGGGCAAGGAACTTCCAAACACTGTTGACTGGAGGACACATTGGTATGAATAGTCTGGAGGGTGGGTTGGCATTATGCTAAAGGGGGAGAAGCTGTGTATCTGATGCCCCAGCCATTCCACACCTAGGAATGTACTCTAGATAAATGTTTACACGTGTGCCCAGGAGTTATGTCTAAAAATATTCATAGCACCATTGTTTGTAATTGAAAAATAATCTAAGGGGTGCCTGGCTGGCTCAGTCAGTAGAGCCTGCAACTCTTGATCTCAGGGTCATGAGTTCAAGCCCCAGGTTAGGCATGGAGCCTACTTAAAACAAAAACAAATGAGAAATAACCTAAGTTTCCTAAACATGATGTATTCATAGAGGAATGACATATGGCGGTTAAAGAGAACTGAAAGAGTAATGAATATCTCATGGATAAATCTAATAAAATATTGAGCAATAAATGGGTCAGGCAAAACTAAATGACATGTTGCTTAGGTCACATATATACTCATATGCATGGAGAGTAAAAGAAGTATGGGAATGGTGAAAGTCCAGATTGAGGAAGGGATTTTATCTGGGGAGAAGGAGAAGTGCAGGGGGCACTTCAA